GCCCCCAACCCTCTGTGGCCTGGCTGTCTGCCGCCACTGGCTCCCGTGCTCACCCCACCCAGGGCACACCCACCAGTGTCTGGCATTGATTCTTAGTGATTATATGCCAGTCCTCAGTTGCCTGAAGAGAAACTGGAGCTCAGAGAGGAAGAAGGTTCACTCAGCAGGGGCCTAACCAGGTCTTCTTCTTCTTCTTCTTTTTTTAGATTTTATGTATTTATTCATGAAAGATGAGAGATGAGAGATGAGAGAGAGAGAGAGAGAGAGAGAGAGAGAGAGAGAGAGAGAGAGATGAGAAGACACAGGCAGAGGGAGAAGCAGGCTCCATGCAGCGAACCTGATGTGGGACTCGATCCCGGGTCTCCAGGATCACGCCCTGGGCTGAAGGCGGCGCTAAACCACTGAGCTGCCCCTGACCAGGTCTTCTAAGTCATGGGTAGGCCTGGAACCCCCAGCACTGCTCCTTCCTGGATGGGGCTGGGCACTTGGAGAGGGCCATACTATTGTTTGTCTCTACCCCCAGGCCCTGAGGCTGTGTCTGGCCTATTCCATGCTTTCTCGGGCAGGGAAGGACAAGTGTGTGCCAACTTTTAGCTCTCTGCTAGAACTCCCCGGCCTGCTGGACTGGCCTTTCACCCTGGCAACCCTGGCCCAGCTCATCAGGCAGATGCCCCTTTGGGTGGCACATTACAGGCCTTATCCTGGAATCCTCACTACAGCCAAGGAGGCTTGCTTTGTCTTCTCCAGAGAACCAAACTGCTCAGGGTCACACAGGGACTGGCGCCCAGGCCTGTGTGACCCAAGTCTGGGCTCTGAACTGGTGCCAGTATAGCCTGGCCCACTGGCTCCGACAGTCTGAGTGTAACTGTAATCCCCGAGTCTTCAGACAAATGACTGCACCTTCCTGAGGACCCTGCTGCTGTTGGAATCATCAGCGTTTTCAGCTATCCACTGTTTCCAGGACAGACCTATCTTCCATCTTCTGGCATCTCCACTTCTTTCTCCTCTGGACCTATTCCATCTGCCCTCCTTCTTCTGCAGCCTGGAGCACAAGACCTGATCTACCTTCTCATTAACACCAGTGGCAATACCTTTTCTCCAGTCTTTTGGCCATTGGTCTAGGAGGTCAGGGACAGTTTCTTTCTTTCTTTCTTTCTTTCTTTCTTTCTTTCTTTCTTTCTTTCTTTCTTTCTTTCTTTCCTTCCTTCCTTCCTTCCTTCCTTCCTTCCTTCCTTTCTTTCTTTCTTTCTTTCTTTCTTTCTTTCTTTCTTTCTTTCTTTCTTTCTGACTTATTTATTTGAGAGAGAGAGTGTGAGAGCAGCAGGAGGGGCAGAGGGAGAGACAGAGTCTCAAGCAGACTCCCCACTGAACATGAAGCCTGATGCAGGGATCGATCTCATGACCCTGAGATCTTGACCTGAGCTGAAGTCAGGAATTGGACACACAACTGACTGAGCCACCCAGGTGCCTCTATGGGTCAGTCCTTCACCAACTGTTTGTTGAGCGCCCAATCTAGTCAGGGTAGGGTGGCCGGGCACCTTGTGAATTTCCTCATTCACTAAGCACAGAAAACCCCCAATGGGATTTGTTGAAGGAAGAATGGAAGGAAAGAGGGATGTTCAGAGGGAGGATAGAAGGGAAAGAAGGAGCCCTTTAGGGCACGTGGCCTCCCAGACCTTGGTTTCCCCTCACAGTCGAGGAGCAGGCTTGGGTTTGAGCCTTTGACCAGCCGGGTGGCTGAAAAGTTGATTGACCCCTTGAGCCTCAGTTTCTTCCTTTGTAAATGGGGTTGATAACAGTTCTGAGCTCAGAGGGCCAGTGGGGGAGTCAACAGAAGACTTTTGCATTTGCACTCATGGGAACCCAGCACATAGCAGGCTGTCAGGTCAACCAAGTGAGCCAGCGCAGTAAGCGGAATCTTTAAGAATTATTAGCACTCAGGGCACCTGGGTGGCTCAGTTGGACTCTTTTTTTTTTTAAGATTTTATTTATTTATTCATGAGAAACACAGAGAGGGGAGAGAGAGAGGCAGAGACACAGGCAGAGGGACAAGCAGGCTCCATGCAGGGAACCCGACGTGGGGCTCGATCCCGGGTCTCCAGGATCACGCCCTGGGCTGAAGGCGGCGCTAAACCACCGAGCCACCCGGGCTGCCCTCAGTTGGACTCTTGATCTCAGCTAGGTCTTGATCTCTGGGTTGTGATTTCAAGACCTGTGTCGGGCTTTATGCTGGGCATGGAGCCTACTTTAAAAAAAAGGAGGAGGAGGAGGAGGAGAATTAGCATTTGCCAGATGGATAAGGTGGTGTTCACAGACAAAAAGAGCAGCAAGGACAGAGGCAGGGGGTGTGCTGTGGCAGGAGCACTGGTCTTGGGAAAGGAGAGATATAGGATGTGAGACTTTGGGCCAGCAGAAGGAGGTTAGGCAGAGCTTTACCAGCATGAACCAGGTCAGGGTCTAAGTTCTGGAGCTCTCTTCCTAGCTGGGTGATGAAGGGCAAGCTACCACTTTCAGGGCCTCAGTTTCCTCACCTGCAGAATAGAACATTTTAACACTGCTCTGCAGTGCCACTGAAGTTGGTGGTGGGCGTAAATGTGCAGTGCCCAGGGCCAGGCACACAGTCACCCTACCGGGGAGCAACTTCCATCCCAGGTCCCTCCCTTGGCCACTGTCAGGTCTCTTCTCTGGGCTCCCACACCTCACCAAACCATTGCCACATCCTGGCATTCTCCTTGGTGCCTTCTCAGGATGCTGCAAGCTGCTTGAGGGCAGGTGCCACCTTTGTAGCTCCTTCTCTGAACCTAGCAAGTGAGCACCCAGGTCACTGTGTGGACTGTGAGAAGAAGAAACACGTGGTTAAGTTCTAGCCAAAGGGCCTGGATTCCAGGAGGAGGAGGAGGAGTGAAAGAAGAGGAGGAAGAGGACACTTTTAACAGAAGGCTCAGGGAAGTGGCACACAAAGGCCAGGTGCAAATGAACATGGTTTGTCTGAGTGGAAGGAGGATGGTGTAACCAGAAGCCAGGCTTGCCCTAGGGAGCAGTAAAAGTTTTAGAGCAGGAGAGGGGCTGCAGAGACCAGGGATCTTTTCTACTTGGACTGGGTACATTTTCTCTACGCTTGTCTAACAATGGGACTCTGCTGCTCAGAGCCTTTGTCCCTCATCTACAAGGATGCCATGTTGCAGGGTGATGGTAAGGGCATAGGAAGATGCCATGGCAAAGGCTGGTTCTTGGCACTTGGCTCTTCTCACCTCACCTTCTATTTCTAGTTTCACGTGTCCAGGTTAAGGGTATGCGCTGTGCTTCCTCATTTGGTTTGGAATTCTTCAGGGCAGGGCTCCCTTTCCCTCTGTGGGTCTCTCTGTAGGGGGAGGCAGCTCCCAATGAAGCTGTGTTCTTTCTCTGACCTGGGCCTATGTAGCACCAGGTTCATGGTACATAGTATAGGAGCAGGGAAGCCAGTCTCTAGGCCAGACTTCCAAGTTCCCCATGCCTCTAGGGATCTAGCTAACAGAGTCCCTCACACATTTGCTGAATGTTTATTGAACACCTACTGCATGCCAGACCTGGGGGGGGGGGAGATCAAGGGCAGATTTCCATCCTTGACTGCATGAGGCTTGTCATCTAGCTCTCCTCACAACCCAATGTCAAGCCTGGGTTCCAGGACACTGTTTGGAAGGCCAGCCCCATTCCAGGCTATATAATCTCCAGTTCTCTTTTCTTCTTTCCTTTTGTAGGAAGTTCTCTGCTGTCAGGATGGAGAAGAACCCTTTCACGAGGCCTAAATGTGTTCTGAAGCTGTACTCTTCTCTTTGCCTGTATGGCTATCCAATGTCCAAACCACCATCAGTTTTGCCTGATTGGCTACAACTGGCTTCTGAATGGCCCCTACTCTCCTGCTTATCCCCCTCTACTCCCCAATCATAGTACTTTCCTTAAACATGCACATCTGACTATGTGGCTGCTACACACATCCATTGAAGGTCTCTCACTGAGTATAGAAAAAAAGCCAAATCCCTCCTGTTCTTTTTTTTTTTTTAATAGATTTTATTTATTTACTGATGAGAGACACACAGAGAGGCAGAGACACAGGCAGAGTTGGAGAAGCAGGCTCCCCGCAGAGAGCCCCACTTGGGACTCCATCCTAGGACCTGGGGATCACCACCAGAGCCAAAGGCCGATGCTCAACCACTGAGCCAGCCACCCAGGTGCCCCAAACCTCTCCTGTTCTTCTAAGGCTTTCCCAGTCTGTCACTTACTTACCTCCCTTGCTCCCTCTAATACTTCTTACACCTTTCTGGCCATCTAGACAGTCTCATGGCCTTTGCTAGCATCTTTCTTCTTGTTTTGAAACAATCTCCCCTCAGCCTCCCAGCTGCTCCATCCCATCCTTCAGGTCCCAGAGTTGGCCCTGAAGCCAGCGGCTCAGTCTCTGTTCCCAGCTGGCTGCGTGAACTTGGGCAAATCATTGGCCTTCGCTGTGCTTCTGTTCGCTGTGAGATGGGCTATTGATGGTAGCCATCTCTTAGAGTGGTTTCAAAGATTAAAGAAAAAAAAAAGATTAAGGAAAATAGGACACTGGAGGGGGGAGCTGGCCTCTGAGGTTCCAGTGTTAGCTGTTATAAAATGTCCTCAGTGAGGCTTCCCTGACTTGCCAATGAAAAGTAGGTCCCCGCAGTCACTTCCCCATCACCCACTTTTCTTTTCTTTACAGCACTTCTCAGCGTCCGAAATAATCTTGGTTATTCAATGATCTTATGCAACCAATATTTGTTGTGCACCTACTAAGTGCCGGGCACTCTGTAATCGCCGTCGAGGTGCACGTCCCGTAGAGGCAGGCCGTCTGCCGGGCCCGTGCATCCGAATCCGCCCGGCACGGAGCGGGCACATAGTAGGCGCTTCGCGCGGCGGCGAGCGCCCCGCCCGCCCCTCCCCCGCTCCAGGAAGTGCGGGGGCTCCAGCCGCCCGGCCGGCCGCGAAGCATTCTGGGAAAGCAGCAGCACCAGATCCAAGATGGCGGCCAGCAGGAGGCTGATGAAGGTAAAAGCCATTCTCCGGCGCCGGCCGGGCAGGGGGGGCGGCGTCCCGGGCCCGGGGCCCCCGCGGCGGGCCGGGACTCCTCGGGGCGCCGCCGCTCGGTCTCCCGGCCCTGTGTGGCCCCACCGCCCCCCTGACCGCACGCGGGCTGAGGGAGGTAACGGGGCCGCCTAGGCCGCAGCCTGGGCGGGAGCGCCAGGCCGCGCTGGGAGCTGCCGCTGGCCCCTCCGCCCGGCCCAGGGCGTCCGCGCCGCCCTCTGCCCGGAACGGGGCCAGGTCTCCCTCGCGGCGGCCGCCTCCGGGACCGGGGGCGGCGTCGATGTGCGGGCCCGACCGGGAGGTCCCAAACCGGGCGCCCGCGGCGAAGGCCCGAGCGCCGGAGCCCCGGCCGGGAGCCCGCGCCGCCGAGCCGCCCCGCCCTGGGCCGCAGCGCGCCGGGCTTAGAGGCCCGGAGGCCGGGAGGTTGGGAGGCTCGGGCTGGGGAAGGAAGGAGCAGGCCAGGCAACAAAAGTTAGGTCAGTTTGTTGGTGGGTCGTTTGGAATTGCTCTGGGTCCCAGCAAACTGTCGCCTTGTGACTGCAGAGTCACACAGCGGGCAAGTTCCAACTCCAGGAAGGCGTGGGGTCGGCCGCGTTTGCGGCGCTGTTCTCCTTCCCGGCCCCCTTTTCGACGTACCACTTAAAATCCTCCGGATCTCCTTCCCCTGCTGAAGCAAAAGTGCCATTATTGGGGGGTGGGGTGGGGGTTGGCTTCAGTCGTTCGAACCCAAACCGGCCAAAGTTTTCAAAAATAACTTGGTACTTTGTATTTTGCATGCAGCGGGGGTGCCTTCTTTCTAAGTGGCTCCTTTGGTGAGGAATACAGATGCTAAACTGGCTCGGTTCTTTCCCGAGTATGTTTGCCGGCGGTCGCCGGAGCAGACCTGGCCCAAGATTTGTGAGTCCGCGCCCGGAGAGTGCTGCCGGGTTGCACCGGGCCGGAAATAAAAAGGCCCAGGAGCTGATTTCCTGAGAGGAGATAAAGAGCTGAGGTTCCTCGGGCAGAGAGCGGTGCTTGGTGGAACCAGACATTGAACTTGGGAGTCACGGCCTCTGGGCCCTCCCTCCCTCCTTGCGAACGTTTCCTTTCTTTTGTTCGCTAAGGGCTGGGGACGACATTTAACTTCATAAAACTGGATTGGAAGTGAGCACAAAAGAACAGTCAACAGATTCCAGACATCTCTTCGCCTTTTTTCTGCCGGTGACACCACCATTCACCCACCAGACATCTAGATGAGAGGACTGTTATTTACTTATTTCCGTACTCCCCAAATGCAGTCACCCATCAAGACTTGTAGATTTTACTTTAGAGAGACTTCTTGAGTGTGTTTTCCTTCCTAGTCTTACTGAAATTACCGGAATCCATACTCTGATCTCTCAGATGCCTTTGCAAGTTTTCCTTTTCTCTGATTCCCCTTTCTGGACACCAAAGTTCTTTTGCTAAAGCAACTATTTAATCCTTTGACTCCTGTTGAGACCTCTGTGATCTTATTGTCCTCAGCAGTTAATCCTAACTTATTTGGCATGCAAGACCTTTCTTAGGCTGATTGAAAGTAATCTGTTTAGCCTCACCTCCTTCCCCTTGTTTTCCCACTACCCTTGTAAATCATAGTAGCTGCTTTTTAAAAAAGCTGTTACTTTGAGCAACCCAGTACTTCACATTCATGATCATGTTTAATCTTCCCTGAAAAGTAGACATTATTCCCATTTTGTAGGTGGGAAAACGGAATGCTGAGAGATTTGTTGGGTTGCCCTAGTTTTTCCTAACTAGGGAGAGTGGGATGTGATCTCTCTTCTATTTGACCCCAGAGCTCCCTGCTCTTACTCAGTTGCTATGTGGTCTTCCTTTCCACATGCTGTTTGATCTTCCAGAGAAAGGCTGCCTTCCCCTTTCCTCAATTCTAAAACCAGCTACTCTGTGAGGCCTTCACCCTCATCCTCCTTCAGAATAAGTTGTTTCCTCCTTTGTGTGACCACAGCATTTTATGTTTCTATTTGAGATTTTGTCTCAATCAGATTTGTGTTAGACTTGCCTTTCCTACTGGGTTTTGAGTTCCTTAAGGACAGGAATTTTGACCTAATTTATTCTTGTATGGTATCCCCTAGTCTACCCTAGGTGACCTAGTTTGGGGTTCCCAGACTTCCAGGGGTCTGAGAGGGGAGTTACTGTGGTTTTTAAATTATTAATTCTTTTTTAATTTATTCATGAGAGACACACAGGAGAGAGGCAGAGACATAGCCAGAGGGAGAAGCAGGCTCCCTGTGGGGAGCCCCATGGGGGACTCTATCTGGGACTCCAGGATCATGCTGAAGGCAGGCACTAAACCACTCAGCCACCCAGGCATCCCTGGTTTTTAAATTGTTTTTGTGTTTCCAAAAATTGGACCTTAGAAAAATGTAACATTAACAGTATTTTTAAGTGCTAGGTCATTTGCATTAATTCTTTTCAATAAAACTTAGAGTTAGCATATTGCCATCGTTATTTTACAAATGAGAGAGAATTGTGAGGCTTAGATAGGTTGGATATTACCTAAGATGGGGTAGCAAGCAGACCAGCGTGGGGAGAGATAAGATGTTAAATCTCCCTAGCTTCAAATGCCAAGATCAATGCCCCCTTTTTTTACCTAAGGATGCTTGGAAGACTATGTATGTAGTTTCTTGAGTTGTGGTTGGAAATTCTTTCTTTCTTTTTTGGAAATTCTTTCAATTCAGTAGAGGAATCCTGATTACATGATGCAAATCCTTGGCTCTGAGAAATCAGAGTTTAAGCTGGTTAGTTTTAAAAAATAACATACTGGGGCAGCCCCAGTGGCGCAGCGGTTTAGCGCCGCCTGCAGCCCAGGGCATGATCCTGGAGACCCTGGATTGAGTCCCACATCAGGCTCCCTGCGTGGAGCCTGCTTCTCCCTCTGCCTGTGTCTCTGCCTCTCTCTCTCTCTCTCTCTGTGTGTTTCTCTCATGAATAAATAAATAACATCTTAAAAAAAAAAAAAAACAACATACCGGAGGATCCCTGGGTGGCTCAGCGGCTTAGCTCCTGCCTTTGGCCCCAGGGACGTGATCCTGGAGTCCCGGTCAAGTCCGTGTTGGGCTCCTGGCATGGGACCTGCTTCTCCCTCTGCCTGTCTCTGTCTCTGTCTCTCTCTCTCTCTCTCTCATGAATGAATAAAAAAAAAAAATCTTAAAAAAATAACATACCAAAAAAAAAATAACATACCGAAATTATTGATGCATGTCGATCAATACATGGAGTGAAAATAATACAAGGTGTTGTGGATGATGAAAGAAACATGTTGAGGGGCACTTGGGTGGCTCACTTGATTGGCATCTGCCTTGGGCTCTGGAGTCCTGGGATCCAGCCCTGAGTGTCCACTTCTTCTGCCCCTCCCCTGCTTGTACGAAGCCCCTCCTCTGCTTGTACGCTCTCTCTTACATAAAATCTTTTTTTTTTTTAATTTTTATTTATTTATGATAGTCACACAGAGAGAGAGAGAGAGAGAGAGGCAGAGACATAGGCAGAGGGAGAAGCAAGCTCCATGCACCGGGAGCCCGACGTGGGATTCGATCCCGGGTCTCCAGGATCGCGCCCTGGGCCAAAGGCAGGCGCTAAACCGCTGCGCCACCCAGGGATCCCTCTTACATAAAATCTTAAAGAAACATGTTGAATAATCAAATGAATTACATCTCTTAAAGAACTTTCCATTTCCTCAAAAACTATTATCCAAGACACTCACAGTCAAAGATTTCTTTGTAACAACGGACTGTTTGCAGATAGCACAAGATACATTATTAGAAGTAGAGTGATTTGCATATACTGGGCTGAGAAGTTATTTTAGGCAAAGTGAGTATGATAAAGTCTTTAATTTAAAAAACATTTGCCAAAAGGATTAGCCTTTTTCAGAACCCCTTTTAGGAATTACAATGTTAATAAAACGCTAAATACATTTTAATTTGCAGGCAGCAAATTCAGCATTGATGGCAACACTGCAAATGTAACCATTGCTTCTATCAGGAAGGGAAATAGCTACAAAAGTGAAACCTGTAGGTGTGGCTAAGGAAATTGACTGCAGTCTGATCATTTCTTTTCAGCCTCTTATTGTATACCTCTACGTCTCCCCTGAGGACCCTCCAGCTGAGTATCTTCCCAGAATGCCTTTTCCAAATGGGGAAAATTGTGAATTTAAGGAGGTGGGGTGACATTTTATTAGTTGTTATGGTATAACTGTTGAGATAAGGAATTGAGATTTGTAGTAGCCTTTTAATGCTGTGTTAATAATGTTCAGTCGGAGGGGATCCCTGGGCAGCTCAGCGGTTTGGCTCAGGGCGTGATCCTGGAGTCCTGGGATCAAGTCCCACGTCGGACTCCTTGCATGGAGCCTGTTTCTCCCTCTGCTTCTCCCTCTGCCTGTGTCTCTGCCTCTCTCTCTCTCTGTTTCTCTCATTAATAAATGAATAAAATCTTAAAAAAAAATGTTCAGTCGAGGTGCCTGGGTTGCTCAGTCGCCATCCAAATAGTGATTTCGGCTCAGGTCGTGATCTCATTGGGTCATGGGACCCAGCCCCTGTGGCAGCTCTGCCCTTAGCAGGGAGTTTGCTTGGGATGCTCTCCCCCTTCCCCTCCCCCAGTCACACTTGTGCTTTTTTTCTAAAATAAGGAATTTTTTTAAATTATTTATTTATTCATGAGAGACACACACAGAGAGAGGCAGAGACACACAGGCAAAGGGAAAAGCAGGCTCCATGCAGGGAGCCTCATGTGAGCCTCAATCCCAGGACTCCAGGATGACGCCCTGGGCTGAAGGTGGCGCTAAACCGCTGAGCCACCTGGGGTGCCCTAAAATAAATAAATCTTTAAAAAATAAATAAATAACGTTCAGACAAAACTCCATATTGTACTTTCTCACAGTCCATAATTACACATGAATAAGTAAAAGGAGTCACTAAATAACAGTTCTTTCCTTGGTT